AGGCGACCACTGGGTCTGAGTTGTAGCTACAGTGCCCTGCAAAGCCATAGGCACATGCATTTAAAGATGTTCGCTGGAGGTGAATATTCATGGTCAGAGAGGAGGGCACCTAGGAGGTCCTGCCTAGGCCAAGGGCCGCTAGATGTGGGTCAGGCAGCTTTGGGGTGACGACGGGGCTTTATGCTCATGACGGCCCAGCCCCCAGCAGCTCCATGTCCTCAGCTTAGCTGTCCTCACCTCACTCTCAGTAGAGCCGCATCCAACCCTGGGCTGGGCTTAGCCCCACCATCTTTCAGTCTGAGCCCTTGTTTGCCCAGGAGGGACAGCCCTCTCCCTGGGTCTCACAGCTCCATGGGGACGGGACTGAGAGGGCCAGGTGTCTAGCTTCCCAGCCTGGTTCTCTCCCACGGCCCACAGAGTCTCCCTTTGCTCACAGTTGCCTTTGTGTTTGATCTGGGCTTGAGATGTTAAACAAACAGAGGCTCTTGACAAACGCAAGCAGGCCGCAGTGGGACCAGCTATGCTCTGTAAAGCCAAGCTAATCCCTGACTTCGCTCCCTGCAGAGATACATCGTGAAACACCTCAGTAACATCCACAGCACCCGTGGCCACCACACCCGGCACAGTGCTCTGTGTCAGTCATCCCAATCTGCTTCGGCTCCCTGGCCACTTCCCCTTTCTAAGGCCTGCCCCCTGCTGATGCTGGGTGGCTCTGGACACCTCTTCCTATAGTGAGCCATGGGCCCCAGGCCTACCCGCCTAGGTCAGCCGCACTGCCCGCCTGTGACAGAGGCGGGTTTGCAGAGCCCTTCTCTGCGCTGGCTGCTGTGCTAAAGGCTCAGGGTACGGAAACGAGGAAGACTTGGTCCTGCCCTGTGGGAACTTGTGGTCTGGTCCAGACAGAGTGGACTGGAATTTTCACACAAGGCCTGGTCGAGCAGGACTGAGCCCAGCCTGTCTGACTCAGGGTCAGTGCTGTACTTCTAACCTTACTAGTCCTGCCCAGCTTTCAACCAAACTGCTCAAAAAGCAAGGCAGAGAAGCAGTGAACACAGGAGTCTCCCTGGCCACATTCTCAGCCACTGTGGCGTGAGCACTGCTGATCACAGGGACAGGGCTTTCAACAGTATCCCAGAAAGTCAGAAGGGGAAGGCATCTTTTCACAAAATCAACCTTTTCATCGTATAAGAAAAGAAAGTAGGCGTGGAGGTCATGAAGCTTTCCCAAATGGCCCAACAGCACTGGCACTGAATTCCAGTTCAGTGCCCTCTCTGCTGTCTGTGGTCCCTTGGAGCCCTGGACACACCTGTCTGTCTTTGTCCTCCTCCCCCCTCACAGAGCTCACAGCATAGAAGTGCCCCTCTGCAGTCTCAGGACCAGAGTGCCTGGGTTCTTCTGCCTGAGACTTGGCCATCTGAGCCCCTCTCCCACTGACACTGCTGCTCTTCAACCCAGTGGGCACACAATTCTTCAAGGCCTTCACTTGTGTACTGAGGACCTAAGGGAACGTGTGGGCCAGCTCTGACACACAAAGCACTGTGGGAAGTGTAGCAGGAGTAAGAGGGCTGCCCACTGTGGAGAAGACAGGAGGCCAGTGGGGACGACCAGTATTGAAGAGCCAACTAATTCAGTGGGCAGGCAGAGTAACCAGCTGAATGGGAGCTTTGGATAGGAGTCTGTGGATGCACAAAGGAGTCAGAGGTTCCAAAAGGAGGAGCTTAAGGAATGCTCCAAGGGAAGGAGTGGCCTCTGAGCTGGGTCTTGAAGCCTGAATAGGAGCCCAATAGGCAGAAGAGGGGAGAGGCAAGGAGGTAGCAGCGTCCCAGCTGATGAGAGCCACATGAGTCATGTGAAGTATGAAAGTACTCAGATGTGTTTACAGCTTAGAGAGGAATGGAATAGAAAATAGGCTGGAAAATAATTTGTGTGTAATGTTTATAAAAAATATAATAACTAATAATAAATTCTATGCAATTTATCCCAACTCTGTTAGTGTCCTTTTCCTCACAATCTAGAGTGCAGAGCAGTGGCTATTTTCTCTTTTTGCCTAATTCTTGAGAGAAGTGGGGGAACGAGCAGGAGGTAATGGGATGTTATAAACAAAGGGAGGGTAGACATTTCCTGGTCCAAAACCTCCATTTATGGATGTGCAAACCAAGGAAGAGGAAGGAGTGACTGACCCCAAATGCCACAGCAAACACGAGGTGGTGACAGGTCGACCTCGGGAGGTGTGACGGGTCTGAGGCACCCCCTCTCACGTGGAAGGAAGTGTGATGGGCTGCTGGATCTGTGGCACAGTCCACCCAGGCCCAGAACAGGGGGAGAAGACTCCTGTCTGCAAGTCTGGGAGCCACTCAGAAGCCTCGACTGTACCAGCAGGGCCCCCACCCGGGTCCCCCTCCACAAGGGACAAGTGGAGAAAGAGCAGGAAGGAGACCGGGCTGTTCTGGGCTTGGTGGCCACCGTAGCTGTGTCATGCTCTCCCCATGGTGGATGCTCTTGTTCCGTACACAGTAGGTGCTACATGCCCAGAGTGCAGGCCCTATTCCCCTCCCTCATTGTGCGACCATCAGCAACTCCCTCCCTACTCTCTGGGCCTCAGTTTCCTCACCTGTAACATGAGAAGGCTGGGCTAGGTGATCTCTAAAGGCCCTGCCAGTTCTGAAGTGCTGTGAGAACACGCCTCGTTATAATTAATAATAGATGCCTGGCCCCCAAAGACAGCTTTTTCCCTTTTCCACTTATAATATCGCCTTTCATCTGTTCAGTAGCCTGGCTTGGCAGTCAGCAGTGAGCGGACCCAGACACAGCACTGGCACCCTGAAAGCAGGGCTAGCAAGCCACTTGTGCACCTAGACACCCCATAGGGAAGGTAGCTTATGGGGTGACCCTGGCCAGGACCCAGCGCATCACAGTTAGTTACACAGAGCCTGGCTTGTAGCCTTCCCTTGGAATGCTGGGAAGCATAGGACTTTTCTTCTAGTGAGAGAGAAGGTACCAGGGGAAAAGCCTGCAACAGGCTGAGGCTGAGCTCATGGTCAGTTTATGCCTGCAAAGAATCCAACACCTTCTTTTGTAGGGAGAAAGGACAACGGGCTTCAAACTCAGGGGCCTCCCAGCAGGCTGTGGTCCAGAAACCCAAGTCCTAAAGAGCAAAAGTCATCATATCCTCATATTCTCTCATTTGCACACATGTGGCTTCCGCCAATCCCTTAAAACCAACTTGCTAGGAAGTAGGTAGAGGTGTATAATGATCTATCCCATTTCACAACAGAAAAACTGAGGCTCAAAGAGTCATGGAGAAGAGAATGGCGCTTGGGAGGCAGACAGACTGAAGCCTCTCCTCAGCTGAGTGAGCTTGGATGACTGCTTGTGTGGCCTCCAATCTCCATTTATAAAATGGCCATGAGCATAAGCAGACCTACTTTTCAAGATGTAAAGACTAGAGATAGTGGATGTAATGCACCAAGCCAATCACACAGAAAAAGCTTAACAAATACTTGTGGAATGGAGGTTTGCACTTCTGGTATGCCACTGGAGAAGTGTAGTGCCTGGGGGTGACAGGCCAGTCCAGGACATGGCAGACAGTGTCCTCCTTGCTGGTTCACTGTCTGCTGAGCCTGCTCGTGGTCAGAGGCTCTGGGCCCCTCCCATATCTCTCTGTGTGGCCCATGCCAGGGTCCCGTGAAGGACTTCTGACCCTCCTTGGCCCTGGGATCTGCATTCCAGTCATTCTGCTCACTCAGACATCCAAGTCCAGAGCTGTCTGGAGCTGAGCGAGGCCTGTGGGATCATCTGCCATGACACCCCGTGGAGAGATAAGGCCAGGAGGCTCTGAGAGTGCGGCAGCACCTCTCCTGAGGTCTCCGTGCCTCTCCCTCCTCGCCGGCAAGGCTGCCATGTTGACAAATGAAGAAATGAAGACATGGGGAGATTTTACCCCAGTTCCTCCAGTCTCTCAGCATGCCTGCTCATCTGGGCCCCTGCCCTGTTTCAGTCGGACCCTAGTCCTGCTAGGACGCCCAGCGTGGCCTTCTCCGGCACTGTCTCAAGCCCTCCTGGGCATGCTGGTGAGGCCGAGGTAGAAGCCCCTGGGGAGCCGAGCCTGGGAGCCTGAGGAGGAGCGCTGGGCGTGGCCTCATGTGTGCCCAGGTCCACAGCTGGCCTTGCTGGTCTCTAAGGCAGTGGGGCCTGCAGCGGGGGGGGGGGCGGGGCCTGCAGCGGGGCCCACAGCACAACCAGGAGGACAGGTGTGCAGCCCTAGCCAGCAGCGAGCGGTGAGGGGGAGGAAATCCTAGCCGAGTCCCCCTGCTGCCAGCAACTCACTGTGTGTCACTCCACGTCTCTGTGGCTCAGTTTCCTCTTCCATGTGTCAGGGGCAGGCCGCAAGGCGCGAGGTCAGTAGAACCTGCCGTGCCTCGGCTGGAGGGTGGAGGAGGGGGCTGGCTTCGCCTGTCCCTTCCCTTCCCTTTCTTTTCCGGCAGCGTCAGTCTATCTGCAGCTCTCTGGAGCTGTGGCCCTGTCTGCCGCTCTGCTCCGGCCCTTTGCCCCGATTTTCCTGCCCGCCTCTTTATTCCTCTTTATTTCTGGATCTGTGTGTCTGCCTCTGGTTTTGTGCCCTCGGTCACACGCGCCCCTTCCCCGGGTCTCCCGCCGCTCCTTCTCGCTGGCTCCGTAGTTATCTGCTTCCCGGTCTAGTTTTCTCTCCGGGGCTGGCGTGCTCGCCCTCTCCCGTCTCCCCCCTCCCCCTCCCGCCCTCCGTCCCTCCCTCCCTCTGTCCTGCCCGCTGTGCGGCTCGCTCCCCCTCCCGCCCTCCGCACGGCTCCCAGTCCTTATTTGGCTGGGCGGGAGGCCGGCGGGAGGAGGCGGCCGGCGGCGGGCGGGCCAGGCGGAGGAGGGCGGGGGTGGTGCTGAAGGGACAGCTCCGCGGCGGCGGCGGCCCGGGGCGCGGAGCGGGTGCCCGGCGCGGAGCGAGCGAGCGCAGCCATGCCCCAGGCCGCCTCCGGGGCAGCAGCAGCGGCGGCCGGGGCCGGGGCCGGGGCCGGGGGCGCCGGCGGGGGACGATGAAGCGGCAGAATGTGCGCACATTGGCGCTCATCGTGTGCACCTTCACCTACCTGCTGGTGGGCGCCGCGGTCTTCGACGCGCTGGAGTCGGAGCCCGAGATGCTGGAGCGGCAGCGGCTGGAGCTGCGGCAGCGGGAGCTGCGGGCGCGCTACAACCTCAGCCAGGGCGGCTACGAGGAGCTCGAGCGCGTCGTGCTGCGCCTCAAGCCGCACAAGGCCGGCGTGCAGTGGCGCTTCGCCGGCTCCTTCTACTTCGCCATCACCGTCATCACCACCATCGGTAACTACTCGCGCGCGGGGCGGGGGCCGGCGGTCGGGGGCCGGCTGCGGCCCGGGTCCTCGGCGGGGCGGGGTGGGAGCCGAGCCCCGAACCCGGCAGCCCGAGTTCACCCGGCGGGTCGGCTCCGCGGGCTCGGGACCGGGGGAGGCGTCGATCACCAGCTCCCTCCGGACCTCAACCTCCGGCCGGGCCGGCCCTAACTTGGCCCTGCCGGGCTGCGCGAGGACCCCTGGGACTCGAAGTGTGCGAGAGGGGAAGCGACGGCCGGCGGAGGCTGGAGAAGGAGGGGTGTGGCCGGGCTAGGCCCCGGAGCGGCGCGGGGTAGGGGCGGCGGGAGCGCGCGACTCCTCCGGCCCTGAGCAGGGGCTTCCGCACCGGGTCTCCACCTGCGGGGCTGCAGGGAGGCCGGGGCAGGCCGGTGCGTTACTCCGTGGCACTCTAGGCCGGTCTGCATGCCTGAAACACCCTGTAACTGCGGCTGTGAGCGCTGCCTGGGGGAGTGTGTGTGCGCGCGCGCGTGTGTGTGCGTGTGTGCGTGCGTGTGTGTGTGTGTGTGTGTGTGTGTGTCAGTGTCTGTGTGTGACTAGCTTCAGGAGTTTGGGTACCACCAGCCAGTGCCTGTAATTTTCTTAGGGCAGCAGAGCTGGTGCTGGAAGCCAGATAAAGCCCTGTCAGCCTTCCCTGTCCCAGCAAAACAGTCACCTCGCAGAAATGGCTCCAGCCCTCTTTTCCAAGCCAGGACAGATCGCGGTGTGGGAAGCCACACGCACACCCAGATCCTGTGACGGCACAGGAACAGGCACTCAGGTACACACAGGACACACACAGATGGCCGTCCACGGAGGGGGTCCCTGGCCAGGCCCTTGATGCAGCTACTCAAGCGTCTAGAGGAGATTAAGCCCTTGGCCGGCTGCGGAGACCCTATAATTCCAACACAGTCCCCTAACCACCGCCTGTATGACCTTGGGCAAGTCCTTTCCCCTGCCTGGATCTCAGGCTCATGTCCAGACAAGGAGAAGTTGGCCAAAATGATCTCAAAGGCTCTTCCCAGCCCCGACGTGCTCAGAGTCTGAGATTGGGAGCCCACCTTCCCCCAGAGCCCATCGGGATGCCTGCAGGAGCTGTTTCCTCCTCTTCCCCGTCTTCTCTCTCTGACCCTCCTCCTTGCCTTGGCTGGGCTCCCAATGGTTCATTGCCACTTGGCGTAGCTCATGACAAAATGGCAGTGTTTTCCTGGGAGTTGATAGGAGTCAAGGGGGTAAGAGGCAGAACTGGATGCTGTCTATCTACTGTGGAACTGTGCTCTGAGGCTCTGCTTCCCTGGAGACCCAAAGCTTGTCCAAAGAAGAGCCCGAAAGGGGCCAGACCAGCTCTGCTCTGGGGTCCCTCCCCCTCTGGGGTACCCTACTACCACCTGCCTGGTTCAGGAGTGGGCAGCTGCCAGGAGAACCAGAAAGCATCCTTAGACCTTCCCTCTCCCCCGCCCCACATCCAGCCCTTACTTACTGCCCTTTCCCTTCTCACTACCACATCCCCAGCTCCACAATAACCTCCCGACTGACCTCCTTGCCCCCAATCTCATTCTCTCAACAAATCACATTCCTCTGGACAATACTGCCAGAAAAAAAGTCCCGTAGCACAGCTCCCCATACCAGTTTGCTCCTCAGAAGCCTCCAGGAGCTCCCCAGGGCCCATGGAATCTGTTCCATGCTCCTTAACTCAGGCCGAGAACCTGTATACCTGCTCCAACCTCTGTGTCTGACTTCATTTCTCGCCCCCTACATCCTCGACCCCTCTCTACTGCAGCCCGACTGTCCCCTGAGAACGCCTTCACCGTGTGAGTCTGACACACCCTTTCCTCAGTCTTCTGTTCACTGTCCACGCTAACCCTCTAGGTCCAGCTCAGATCCCACCTCCTCCCCCAGACTTCCCAGGCCACTGCTCTGGATCACAGCAGGATTTATTGCCAACACCTGGGTGACCAGCGCAGGCTCTTTTGAATGTTATGTACATTTTAGGGGATGTGTTTTGTCTCTCCCGCCACACTATAATTAATCTCCATGTGCGCAGAGTCCTGTAGGTCCTGTTACTGCCCTCCCGGTGCCAGCATGGTACCCAGCGGCTGTGAGCACTCAGAGAAGGCTATCGATGAGTTTCAGGTGTGAAGAAATGAAAGGGCATCGCCCTCCTCCCCAGCGCTGCTGTTGCTTCCCAAAGTGCTTGTGTCCTCGCCTCGGGAGACACTAAAAGCTTGGGCTAGAAGCAGAACATGGGTCTGGCAATTATTTATACAGTGCTGGGAAAGAAGGACAATCTCAGACCACCACCCCAGTCCAGGGGTCCTCAGACTGGCTCTGCCCAGTCTCTGCCCCACCCCAGCATCCCTGACTTTTTCTCATCTTCCTCTCTGGCTGTGCCACCTAGCTAGAGGCTGCCACGGAGGCTCTGATCTAAGAAAACCCGTCCTGGTCAGTGCCGAGATGCCTGGGAGGGGCCCTGTGTTAGACCAATCCTGACCTAGAATCCAGGGTTAGCAGACCTGCCCCTCTTTGGAACCTCTCATGGGGAGTCTCACTGGGACGGAATAATGAAAAAACCTCCCATTCATTCAGTACCTTAGGGATCACAGGGCTTTCCTCTCGTGCTTAATTCTCAGCCTTCACAACTCTGTCAAGTTGCCAGGGCAGGTACTGTTAGCTGCATTAGACAGATGAAGATGGGGGAGCTGAGGGAGAAGAAGAGACCACCACCCCCCAGAGCACCCAGCTGGTGAGCAGCGGAGTCAAAGCGGGAAGCTGGGTCTTCTGACTCCAAGTGCAGGGCTCTTTCCCTGCTGGTCTCTTGGCTGCTTCTTTTGCCTCCATATGCTGTGAAGCCCAGACCCAGCCGGGCCTGGCAGAGCCTCGACTGGCTTAGTGATGCCAGCTTGCGGGGCACTCTCAGGCAGCTCTGACTGGTGGAAGGTTGGCAGGGTCAGACTTAGTCATTCACCTGGTTAGTCACGGTCTCCACTAGCTGCGTGGATTCCTCCCGCTCCCACATTCCTAGCCTCCCAGCCCAGAAACCCTTCCTTCACTGTTCCCCCAAGTTCACCAAACGAATGGAAACTCTTTCCTCGGGAAACCTTGCCCTCCCTAGCTGTTGAGTCATCAAACTCCTCCAGGCCCCAGCCAGGTCTATTCATAGCCAGGGGCTGTCAGAGCGGGAAGGGGCTGGGGATCAGCTGGTACCACCTCCTCCTCTTACAGATAAGGCGCCAGAGGGTGATGGGAGTCACACAAGGGGAGCAGGGGAGCAAATCTGACTCCCAAGCCCCCAGCCCTTCCACTTGATCCAAATGTCTCTTTTTCAGATTTATTTTTTCATTTATGGTGCTGGGGACGGAACCCAGGGCCTCACACATGCCAGGCAGGTGCTCTGCCACTGGCCATGCCCCCGGCCTCTGTTATTTTTATTAACAGTGGCAGCAGCACAACATAGTGGCAGGCACCATGTATTGCCCACACTTTGGCAGGCCGTCTTTGGACACTTCATTTGTATGCCCTCATTTAGTTCCGTCCAGCCCTTCCTGACAAGTTTTATTACCCCCGTTTTTCATCAGCAGAACCTAAGGCCCTGAGAGTACATGACTCATCCACGGCCTCGGGACTCAAAGTCAGGTCCCTGCCAGACTCAGAGGGGCCTCTCCCGCTCCTGCACCCTGGAGTTGCCACCTGTTCTTTCTCCACTTTAAGGATTCAGCCCAGACCCTCATGTCCCGGAGCACTAAGGAGCCCAGGCTGGCTGTTGCCTCCCAAAGCACTCCAGAAGCAGAGGGCTCTGGCTCCACTGCCCCACAGCCAGCCTGCCTCTCCCAAACAGGACCGCATGGCACACCTGTGCCAGCACCGGGCCATCCTGGAGGCTGCTGCAGGCTCACAGGTGCCCACTTTCCCACTACAGTCCAAAATGCTTGTGGCTCTCAGGCAACCAGAGGCAGGTGACTGATGAGCAGATGGAGCAGGGCAGGAAATCAGTTCTGCTCCTCCCTCAGCCTCCATTCTGTCCTCAGCCCCAAGACTATAAACTCAAGCGGGTGTCTTGGGAGGGAATCTGTACTTCTTACATCTTTTCAAGAAGGAAGTCCAGAACTGACCGGCCACCTCCCAATTCCAGAGCCCTATAATCAAAGAGTGAAAATAGATAATAAAATAAAATAGGAAGAGGAGGGATTAATGATGACCCACTCAGGTAAATAACCTTCTCTGGGAAACACAGCAAGTTGAGGGCATAACCCTGGTTAGGACCCAGATCTTTGGGTCCCCAGAGTGGAGTTCTCATATTCAGCCTACTCTCCTAGCGTGCCACCTCTGAGCACAGATGCCTTGGCCACTTACCACTTCCAGGGAGAAGAGGAGGAAGGTTCTGGTGGGATTATTCCCTGCACTATTCCACATTTGTTTCCTCTGCCCTAGGCTGGCCCCTCTCCTTTGACCCTTTCTGCAAGGTGATGTAAGATCGAAGAGCACCTGGTTTCCTCTCAACCCACTCCTCACCCGAGCCAGCATTCCCCCTGACCTTAAGCTTCTTACTCTCTCAGGCTTTGTTTTGTCATTTATTTATAAATTGGGAATAATATCCGCCTCCCAGGATTGAAAGGGATCATGAGAAGAAAGTATCTGATATGAGTGGGCCCTTGATGAATGGCATCTGTGACTGTTGCTGTGATTAATGTTACTGTTCCTACGTTAGCACAATCCCCACAGAGCAATGGCTGTCTCCTCAGGGTCCCCATGGCCAAAGCCACCTCTGTTCCTTCCCAACAGGTGTGGGCAGCAGGGCTGAGGGCCAGGAAGCTGCCCATCCCTTCTCCTTTTCTTCCAAATTCCACTCCCCTAACCCAGGTTTCCCAGCTCCTCCCCAAGGGTAGCACCTCCACTTTTGACCAGGTCGATCCTGCAGAAAATCAGTCAGAGTAAGTGAGGTCTCCAATGGTGGGGGAACCTGTCCGAGGCTGGAGG